TGCAACATACATACATCGACTCAGTTTTTTGTGCTGATTTCAAATATTTTCATTTTTTCGATCACAAGCCTGACTATTCAAGAGAAAATCAATCAAAAATCAGGCAAAAAATTTTTTTTTGTAAACTACTCACTGTTTTTGCTATATTTTCAATATTATAGTATCCTTTGAAGATTTATGAAATATCGTAGAATTACAGAGCACGACTTGGACTATCAGAATATATAGAGAAAAAATTTCCTAAAGCTTTTTATAAAATATTAATAACACGGCGCACGAACTTTTTCTTCAACCTAATAATATACAAGATGGCAAAAAAGTCACTTCATCGAAAAAAAATTTGAACATCTCCATTACGACACGAGCAAACGAGCTGATTTGTTTTTATCGATGATGGAGGCATGTTCAAGCTTTATATCCATAAAGACATGCCTAGAGAGATCCTTTGTTAAGTATTTTGTTTTTTTTCTTATATACAAGAAAGTAATATTTTTCTGTTGAGACCAATAATGATACTTAACAAAAGGTCTCTCTGGGCATGTCTTTATGGATATAAAGCTTGAACATGCCTCTATCATTGATAAAAAAAATCAGCTCATTTGCTCAAGTCGTAATGGAGATGTTCAATTTTTTTTAGTAGCATGACTTTTGGGCCATCCTGTATTTTCCATCATGCTCTAAGTAAATCGATGATACTTTATGAAAAAAAAATGATATTTTTTTATTTTATAAGTTAAAAACACGTTCATTGAGTTTGAATAAGCGGAAAAATTTACGCTATTTCTCTTTTATTTTCTACAAGAAAGTTTTTTCTTATCGTATAGTTATATATTTAGTTAGAACGTCAAATAAACACTAGTATCTTAAAAAAAAGTTAATATTTTTAAGCATTATTACTGGAATATATTCGCATGGTTTGGTATTATTTAGCATTAGAATTATTTAATGCGAAAATATGTTAACATTAAATTAACGTTATTTGTATTTCTAATACATTTGTCATTTGCAATTAGGTTTCGAAAAGTTCAAGCTCAAACGTTTCTGATAAAAGAACGACTTTTTTCTTTTATGGAGAATTGTTTTCTCGGCTTAGAAGTCTCATTCTCAAAATAGAACACAATTGTTATTATTGGAAACTTTGACTTTGAACTCTTCAAAGTCTAATCGCAGGTAGTAGATGTGCTGGAATTAAAAATAGTGCTAAATTGATGCTAACATCTTTGCATTAAATTATTTTAATGTCAAGTAATACCAAAGAACTAGAAATAATTTTAATATTGATGTCTAAGCATAAAGAATAAGTATTAATTAATGTTAATACGATACTCTTCTGTCAACTATTGTCTTATAAATATACAGACAAGGAAGATGTATGCGAAAAGTTTTTTCATCAAAGATGTAATACTTTGAGAGATATGAAAAAGGATATGACATTATCTTCCTTTTCTTATTGTTACTAAAATCTTTGACGGTAGTGTAAATTTTTTATTTGAGGTTGAAAAAACTTTTTTTTTTCTAATTGAAACTATAATACTTAATATTCTAAAAGATTTCAGAGAGCAAGATTCATTTAGCGTATCTGAGCAAAAGCGAGATAGTAAGAAAGATGAACATGAATACAGGTGAACTTACTACTTTTCGAATACATATATTTAATGAATCTTCTTTGCTAACTGGTGTTTTATCCAAGTTTTCTTGTTTGAAGGGGCGAACTCAATCTATGGAAGGATGTTATCTCTTTTACCCCGATGCTGGATAAAATACTTGGTGATTTTTATTGAAATAATCAATACTCTTCCCTTCACTCTCACAAAATATGCAGAAAGAAAGACGATGTTTTTAAAGAATCGACAACGAACATACAAGAGATTACTCAATCGAGTTCATGAAAACTATAACATAGTTGTAAAAAAAAATTTACCATACCAAATTTAGTTAGTATTTGTTTTCTACTCACTACAAAGAAAGCTTTCAAGTGATTTATCTCATTTAAGTTAATATTTTATTTAGATAGAGAATATTTCATTGTAAGAAAACGTTAACAGAATTAGTTTAGTACGATTTCTTTCAAGAGTTATGAATTTGTTCGTTCTCTTCTCGAGGAATTATTATTACTAAGACTGGTTGATTCAAAAGCTAATTTTTTTCTTATTATATTTTTAATTATATACTAGTCTCAACATGATATTCACAATGTGCAATCTTAACAAACAATAGATAATCAACTTTTCTTGTAACTACTTGAGTCGATAGAAAATGTGCTTTATTTAGATGTTTACTGAATATTGAATGATCTTGTTAAAGTTACTTTAATATTACATACGCAAATTTATCATCCGAATAAGTTCTTCTTTGTTAACAATCGAGGACAAAAATGATGGTCTTACATATTTAACAGCTAAAAATAAACTATCTAAAGGTTTCAAATGATTTTCTAATATCAAATGATTTTTTTAATTTTAAACTCGAGCTCATCGTTTAGAATTAAAATTTTAATGAAAAATAAGAATTAACTTTCATCAGTCGATCCTTCCTAAATTGTAAGACTCCTTTGTGATAAAAATACGAGAAATGCATTTACTTGAACCTTTTTAATAATTAACAATGTTTTGAAATAAACAAGTCTTATCAAATGTAATTTGATGAAGTAGCTTGATATCAAAACATTATCTCGTACTTTTTCTTCTCATAAATACTCTTGAAAAAGAAGGACAGACTGATAGTATCAAAAATTCTCTGAAACTATTTACTAACGGAATGAGAAGATATATGCAAAGGATTATCGAAAGTTATTATAACGATCTATATTGGTTTAATATCATGCAGCTTCTAGCTGCTTTAATCGATCAATATATTTATTAAACTCAATGGGATGTGGGTGTGGGTGCGTGCTTGACTGTGGGCATAGGCATAGGTATTGGTGTCTGAATGTGGGCAAATAGATGCGAAAAAGTAATTCCACATTGTCTCCACCTCGATTGACAATACCTACATGGAAAAACTTCATTGGATTCCTGAATTTTTCTCGAGGATATAGGTGCCAACGGTGCGTTTTATGTAATCCCATGGAAAAACGAACCACATGTGTACATAGAGCAAATTCTGAGCGTTCAAGCGATTTTAATAAGACAAAAAAAATTAGCACAACATCTTTGATCAGTAGCTATGTTGACTAAAAATGTCTTTAAAAAAGTGAAATTCTTTAACATTTGTAGATATATATATATATCCTACAGTTTTCTTTCTTTCCCATGATGAGAATCACACCCCAAAGATAATAAATTTCCTGTCATTTGTATTCTTCTTATATCGTATAATTATAGATTATGTTTTACTAAAAGTTTGATATCATTGCTTTTTGAACATGATATATTCATCGACAAAGAAGACCTTTAAAATGTTTACACTACGAAATTCCTTTAAAAAAAACAATAATACTTCAAATTCATTAATTGTAATGGATTCCTTTTTCCTTGTATTATTGATACAGAACCTCTTGTATTAGATTTATTCTGCAATTAAACATCACTTGTTTGTTTTTATTTAGGAAAAGATCAACAGCATATGCAATAAAATACAATTACAAACGATCTATCACCAACTCGTATCAATAGTACTTTTCTCGGCTGACAGTTGCTAGATGACATTCTTCTCAGGATGGATGATGAAGTTCGGCAGTACCCACTATCCAGAAATGGGAAATTCAACAGTAATTGAGGTGGAATTCGAGAAATTTAAAGCTTTCTACAACAAGGACGGCTCAAAAAACTGGTACATACAACCCCACTGTTGAGGCTACAATGATTGGCACATACGATCCTGATGTGAGTGTTTCAAACACTGAATCTCACTTGATTTTTCTTGTATTGCCAATTTCTAGGCGGTGACTCTTATCTTATATTTTTTGTTTGAAAACAAAATGCTCTCAGGTGACTGTCACAATATAGCTGTAACGTTTTAATCATTCGTATCATAAAAAACAACTGAAATATGATTTTCGACAACCTTTCTTATCTTCTTACATTTCATTGATCATTATTAGTTTTATTATAAAAAGAAACAATAACATATGATACATCATATAATATTCTTTGTATTAATACAATTGATCAACACCTTTTCTACGTATATACGATAAAATCAAACTTAACTATCATGAAACTTTTCTCTTCTCCGTTATTATTTTTACTACTACTATTAGTATGGATATCGGTATTATCAACAGGTATGAAAGCTATGTAAAAAAAACGCTTGCTGTCTTTTTTAAACTATTTTTTCTTATTGTAACTTCATTTTTGAAATATGAATCATTCATTGTTTTTAAACAACATAAAAACGAGAACCATTTTGTAGCTGCCGTTATTAAATTGAGCACATTGTATAAAAGGAATCTGATAGAAAAACAAACGATTGAATTATACTTTCGTCTTGTCTATGTTTTCATTGTAAAAATTGATAGATTGCATCATTATATAAATGTTGTTCTATTTATTTATTTTTTCTAGGAATCAATGCCAAAAAAAGAGAACAAAAACAACAACATAAAGATGCTTTGAAAACATACGATGACAACGAGAGTTTTGATGTAAAAGAAAAAGAAAACAATAATGATGATGATTCTATGGAGACCAATCGAGATCATCGAAATCGTTTTCCAGTTAAAAAAAATAATAAAAATCTAGATGATTCAGATGAATCATTATCACCAAGAGATCGAAATAGAGAACATGGAAAGAAACATAAATATATGAAAAAATGCAAACATGGGAAGAAAAATAAACATTCAAAGCATGATCTACCTTACAACCGCCATGTGAAAGATCGTCACCGTAGTGGTAGACATTGTCGTAAACATCATCATTATCATGAAGACAGAAGTCATCGAGATAGAAGACCAAGCCATCGACGATATGGAAATAAGGATGAAGATAGTGAAGAAGAATTTTTCGATACCAATAGAACAAACAAAGGTCGTGGAAAAGGTCAAAATAATAGAGACAATGAATCACCAACTCACCGACGTGGTGAACGTAGACGAAATCCTAAACATAACAATGATGATAATGATTCAAGCCGAAATAAAAACGACCAAGATGATAACGATGACCTTCAATCATAAACAATACATATTAATTGAAAAACAAAGAAATATTTCTTTGAGCTGTAATTTAAAAAAAAACAGCATATATTCTCTAAATCATTAATAAATATTTTATTTCCCGAAAGAATACTAACAAACCTTTCTTAACTGACAACACAGTCAAACATGTGTAGTTGCTGGAAATTATCAGAAACTAGTATTCACTTACAAGATATTTTTTAAGCCAATGTACATAATGTACAAGCTTTGAAGTTATTTTAAACATAGTAGCGTATTGAAAATACAAATATAAAAACACCATTTGTTACGTTTGTAAGTGAAACATGCGAGAATCTTATCATTACAGATGCTTAAACATGATACTTTTTACTTTTCCTGCACAACATATGACTCGCATGTGACAGTCAAAGTATTTGTTGCGCGTATTTGCAAGATAGCCAGAACTTCATGCAATTGTGCGTGTTAGAAGAAAAACATTATATTTACGATAGCTTTAACTAAAATGACTCTGCGTTGGTATCTAAACTTTTTTTATGTGATAGTGTGCATGATGTTATATTTAGGAATTTAGATTTTTGTTTTACATTAAAAACCTGTAGCAAAATCCCTCTAGGATTAAAATGCAAAACGCGATATAGTTGCTCTTGCGAATCGCAGGAAGATTACTTATTTCTATCTCGTTTGGGACACATGTCCTCACCATTTTTCTTACTTAATCCTCCAAAAATATAATACGGAAGTAAATCATACCTTAGAACGAGACGTTATTGATATACAGTCTTTGATCGTATATCAACAATGTCTTGCACGGTCTGTGACGATAAGGGGACGTTCCTAAGGTGGCTGTCTCGGCCTATGATGGTCTCTGACTAGCGACTGTCATGTTTTGTAATGGGTTTTCAGGATATCCGTCACGGTTAGTGGTGGGTTGCCACTATGTGTAGGAGGGGCATCAAATCCATATTTCTACCCCATATACTTCAACACTCCTTTTAGATTGTGTTTCCCAAAAAGAACTTACTCTTAAATAACCGCACTATATTGACTCAAAAACTGATTCAGGTGGGACATAGAATGTAAGTGTGGATGTGTGGCTGTGGCTCCGGATGTAGGTGTGTGGAAGTGGGTGTGGGTGTGGGTGTGAATGATAATCTTCTTTTCGCAATTACCCACACCCAAACTCTTCTCGGTTACTATAGTGATGCGTTGCGAGTATTGCTACTATTTCATATAGACCTTTCATAATTCGTCTATGTTTTGAAAATCTTTAAGTAATAGAAAATAGTAAGATGACACAATATTTTGGCTAATAACGACAGTAACAAATAGATTGAATTGAATTTCTTCAAGTCGATATAAATGAAACACAGTTTTTTTTTGTTTTTGTTGAGTCCCGCGTCCCATATGAAAACTTTTCACTGCCCTTGCAAATACTTGACATTTGGAATCAAATTTAGATACTTCCTTATACAATTCAAAAATCGACAGTTTTCAGTGACATCTATTAGTATTATTGGATTTGCACGGAGACACTTAACGATATTATTAAAAATTACTTATTAAAAAAGCCAAACTAAATTCATAGATGAATTAGTAAAGAAACTTTATATGCATCGTATCATTGCTATGATCATATTTAACGAATCAAATATGTGCAACGATTGACAGCATGTAGTTGCCTTACCTTTGTTTTTGCGCTCTCTCATTAATGTACATGCGTAATTCCATTTTATTAAAGGAAAAGGAAGAAAAAAAAACATAATTTCTTTTTATATGCACATCAAAATATTTACAAAAATTGTTTCCTAGCACTATGATTTTTAACGAATTTCGACTAACGGCAGACTTTCTTCATGCATCTGCCATATTATTATTGATTTTTAATATTATCAAAACACGATCATGTTATTCAATTTCTGGTATAACGACGATACTCTATGTGATTACATTCTCATGTCGTTATTTGGATTTATTTTTGTTTAACTTTTATTCATCAAATATTCTTTTAACATACAATACTATCGGCAAAATCTATTTTCTTATCTCAAATTTTCTTATTCTTCTTCTTATTTATGGTTTATTTAGAAAGACTATTGATAAATCCCATGAAACATGTCCAATCTTTGTTTATATCATATGTGCTCATGTTTTAAATTGGAGTACATGTTATTTCATTGGTTACAGCAAAATTGATATGGAATACTTTTGGCGATTTTCAATTTATTTAGAAATGTTAGCTATTATTCCTCAATTAAGTTTAATATATAAACAACAAACAATTACCAAAACAATGACATATTATTTAGTAATGTTAGGATCCTATCGAGCATTTTATATTCTTAATTGGTTTTATCGTTATAAAATGGAACAATTTTGGGAACCGATTTCTTTCTATTGTGGATGTATTCAAACAATAATTTATATTTATTTTTTCATTTGTATCTATCCACAATTAAACAATGAAAATCAATGTCAATCAATTGATGTTACCAAAGATCTTATTAGTAGTATTGATATCAAAGAAAATATCGATCAACAATCAAAACAAGATATACCTATGATTCATGACGTCGTTTAAAAGAATTTAAAGTATTCTTATATTACTTGAATATATTCAATATTTAATGAACTTATGCTTAGTATGAATAGATATTAATATTCTAATGCATTCCCTCAATATATCTTATGAATAAATGAAAAATAAATAAAAGACAAAAGCTTAAAAAGTTTATGTAGCATATTCAAATTTGCTGTTTAATTTGTCTCTGTCTGTACTTTTGAAGTAGATATCTCTATGAATTTTACATCGTTATATATACACACATTTATATATACAAAAAAACAAATCACTCAAATCAATAATGTAGTTCTATGTGTTGTTAGAAATTTATATGGTTGCATCTCTCTACATTGCTTACCTCTTATTTTCTTATAAATGTTCTTGCTCTGTAATGTAAGGATCTAAAGATCACCAATTATTACAAAATAAATAAAAAGACAAAAAAAAAAACAAGTCACTCAATTTAACAACCATTGTTAGTTGTCGGACAAAGAGTATGACCACTGTTATGCGGCTTGGCTGACTTGATTTCTCTCAATGTTAATACTTCTGTTGATTTGATTGCTATAAATTCTTTACTTGCGGTGTTTTTTGCTATTGAATTTGAACAGCTGTTATTCTGCTTAATTTCAGTTATATTCCGTTGAGTATATAAGAGTGTTGAAGTATAGGGATAGAAATTTGGGTTCTCCATCCTCTCCACAGACTGTGAGCGACATAACTGCAAGATGAAAGTCCACCACGATGTATGATAGTTGTTCTATACTTTTCTTTCGTGCTCACTGCAATGTATTATGATAAATATATTGTATGATCGACATTCGTTAATAATATGTAGGAATTCATAAACCGAAATATATATTGATTAATCCCCTATTTTACAATGCTAAAAGTTATTCTGTATCACACATAAACATGCTGATTATCGTAAATTGGATTGATTATTGTATATTCAAGCGAAAGACACTTAATTTGCCTATGTTAGTGCATACTATCAATACGATGCATGTTGGATATTTTTTTATCAATTAAGTCAATTAATAAAGTTCTATATACTTTGCAATCAAGCTTCTATGGAATTTTTTGAGCCTGATTTTCAAAAGTAGATATTAATGCGAACAGTAGTGCATCTCCGATGATTTTAATTGAACTTGATTGTATAATAATTTCGCTAAAGCATATGACTAATGTAACTAACTTTAGTAATCGTGTATTGAAACATTTTGTCGCTTGAATCGATGACAAAAATTCATTTGTTCTTGATTTAGTCTCATATATATGTTCTACTTCAAGTACATCTATTGTTTCCTGTGTTTGAACAATCTGACATATGTATCTTCATCAAGCTGATATTGACTCGATTTAATCTTGTACAAAACCATCGGTTCAGGATTTTGAATGATTTCTTACACCACAGTCGCAACGTTGACTTAAGCATAATTGTGTCAATTCTATAGAGAAAATTGAAACTTGATCTAATATCACCAATGATTATTAATCAAAAGAATCAATTTAGTTATTCTAAGGAGTTATTCAAAAGTGTTGTTCTGCAAGATACAACTCGACCTTCTATTAAACAATGTGTGCTTGCTTCAAAGAATTGAATCGTTAGTCCAATGATGTTGTTAGAGTTCTCACACATCCATTTATGTTTAAAATAAAACAAGGTTTGAGATACAAAATGAGGGACAATAAATGCGAGAAAAATATTATTACTATCAGCTAAAGTATATTTATACACAGACAATGTTCATTATCCAATCTGCTTGATGAGGTCGTTGTGTTTTAGTATGAGAATGCACATGTACCATAATGCGACTTGTATTTGTCGGTAAATGAAACGCACGTGCTAAGGGACCATTATTACATAAACTATACTTCAAAACTCGATCGCGCAGATTCAAAGCTTTTTCATCTTGAAAAAAAGGTCCATGAGAAAAAAGAACACCATATGCATTTCGTAAATTATAAGGTTTATCATTGAGTGTACCGTAGAGTTCTGGTGTCAAAACTCTCTCCATCACCATATGATCTGATGTACACTCTTCATTATCATTACATGCAATCTGAGATTGTTCAAAGACTTGAAGACGAAAACTTGTAGAAAAAGTTTCCATTCCATTTGGTGCAACTGAAAAAACGAGAGGTAACGGAGATGCTACGGTAGCAAAACTCAAGCCACGTACTTGTGGCATGTTAAAGACATAACCAATAGATTGACCAAGGCCAATAATAATCCAAAAAATGGCTCCAATAGTTGCAAGTGAATATCGTTGCTTATAGATATGTCTCGTTTTTTGTTTGGGTGACAAGAGTACATCGCGACCACAAATCATTTCTCGTACTCTACTCTCAGCTTCAGGTGAAAAACCTGTTGGTCGATCCATTTTTTCTGGATTCTCAAATGTACCACCTAGAATATCCCACAGTGGTAAATCACCATAGTTTTTACTATGATCACGTTTATTACGTAGATGATGAATTCGATGAGCTTCAGGACGTTGAAAAAAATAGCCTAACCATTGTGGTGTCTTGATATTCATATGATAGAAATATTCACCAAAAGCAGCAAAAGCTGACAACCAAACAGTTGATTCTCTAGTAAGACCAAGTACCGGATAGACTAATATTGTCATAATGATTGAATCGATGAAAATTTCTTGAGGAGCTTTATAAAATGATGTTATTGCCTCGATGCGTTGTGCACTATGATGTAATTGATGAAACCACAGCCACATGAAATAGACATTATGTCGTACACGATGAAACCAATAGAAGATCCACGTGTGAATGAGGTAAGCAATAATGCCACCCATCATCGGTGAAACAAAGTCACGCAAATGAAATAAATGTGCATCGGGTAACCAATTTTCCCATGTATAAGTACCGACAACAACTATTAATAATTGAGAAAAATTAATGAGTAGAACACGTTTCCACCAGCCTGGTACATATACTAATGGTTGATCGGGAAAGAGACGTTCTAACACCATTAGACATCCTAATCCACTGATTATAATCACTAATCCAAGTAACATTTTCTCTTTATATCTTAAAAAAAAATAAAATTATATATATAAACAAACGTCTACTCATTGAAACTTGCATTCAATAGACGAATGCAAGTTTAGTTGTATTTACATGTTTAAAAAATATTTACGCTGAACAAAAAAAAAAAGTGTCAAGATGATGAAATATTATAAAGGTTTACTTTTCAAAAAACATTTGATGATCTCAGACTACAGCATCATTTTTTTTCATGTTCGTCGGCTCCGACAAACATACACAAATGTAACAAGCTCTGCTTTTCTCTTGCTCTTATTCTGTTCTTACACGTAACATACGTGGCAAGGATGATTTCATATATGATTCATACACACGCATAGAATTATTGCACAACAACATGTCATATAAATATTTCTTCATATGTTTTCTGTGCAAAATAAATGTGCCCATTTTGCTTTACATTTTTTTCGTCATAAACATGACATCATCAACAACTTCTACAAAGTGGTATACTGTACGTCAATTAAAAATCTTTCAATTAATATTTGGTTCCTATCTAACGATTCATTTTGCATATTTAATTCCTCATGTAACAGAATTATTTAGTCGTAATGGTATGATTGCTGATCCAAAATGGAATCCAACATATGGTTATTTTCCAAATATTCTTCATTGGATTGATTATTCTCCTAAAATTTTGACTGTTTTTATTATTTTTTTGACATGCTTGTCAGTAATATTTGCCTTACGACTTGTTGCACCACGTCTTATTGCTTTTCTATTGTGGTATGGATGGGCATGTCTTTTAAATCGTAATGTACTTATTTTGAATCCTGGCATTCCTTACGTAGGTTTACTTCTTTTAGCATTTAGTCTAATTAATTTTACAAATTCACAAAAAAATGATAAAGAAAATAATGAACTTGAACTTAATCCACGAGTATTTCCTTGGCTTTATTGGGGAAGTTGGATTTTGTATGCATTAGGTTATACAATAAGTGGCTTACACAAATTACAATCACCTAGTTGGATTGATGGTAGTGCGTTGAGTCATGTCTTAAAAACTCCTTTATCACGTGATAATGCTTTATGTCATTTTTTACTTGAAGCAAACCCAATTATTCTTCAAATATGTACCTGGACATCACTTTTTGTGGAAATTTCGTTTGTTCCTCTCGGTCTCTTTTATCATACGCGTAAACTATATTGGTTTGCTTTTCTTGGTCTTCATATTGGAGTTTTACTACTCGTCAATTTTACTGATCTCACAGCCGGAATCTTAGCTATGCATTTCTTTCTATTTGATCCTCGTTGGTTGTTTTAAATAAACATCTCGTTATCTCTCAAACAATTCTAAAATAAAATCATTATTAAGTTACGTTGAGTGATCTTGATGAATTTTTAAAAGCAAAAGAAAATAATGTGATAAATGATTAAAAATTTTTCTCAACAAAATAAACATTGATCTGGAAAACGAACTTGAAACATCTTCCTTATCATTTCTAGAATGATATTTCAAAGTAGCACTAGTGATATCCAATAATCAATTAGTAATTTTTAAGCAGAAATTTATTTAACAGTTGAAACAGTTGTTTTAGTACCTTTTATTTACAGAAGAAATAACAAAAAAAAAAGAAAGTAGTTTTTTGAACCTTCAATAGCATGAGAACTATAGATCTGAGGGTCCTTTCAGATTCGGACCCGGATCCAAAGTTTTATTTTTTTGTCGAACTCGGTTACATGCTTATGTGGATCTTGCTATCCAGATGAGAAATACGTCAACAAGATATAACTGCAAATTGAAGTTTTTTTCTGAGACTAGCAAATAAATAACTAAAAAACCTTGATTCTTTCCTCGTTCATGTATACGAAGGATGCCAGATATTGATAGAAAAAATTTCGGATTTGGATCCAACCGGATCGGATCGATCCGCAGATTCCAAGTGCGAACAGTTGTTACATATCCTTTGTTACTCTTAAATAAGAATAGATATCGTAAGAATTTTTTCATTGTTTTAAAACATGTTTAATGCCATTTTGTTTTTAATAAAACAATACAATGAATCGTTTGACTATCAAGAATCAAGCACCAATTTGATCTAGACGATGTGTGAAAGATAAGTTTTTATGTTGAATTATTTATTACTCATAAACAAGAACATATATCCTAACAACTTGTTTTTGTTTTACTGTTTTGAAATATTTTTAATACCATTTTATTTCAGATAAATTAATACGGACATTTTGTGAGTAGGTACGGGTGTGGTTGTCGGTCGTAAGTATATGGATGTAGTTGAACAGAAGACCCATTCCATGCCATTTACAAGATAGTCATATCAATTTATTTGAAATAAAATGCTATTAACTACACTTCAAAACAGTAAAAACAAGTTGTTAAGATATCTGTTCTGGTTTATGAGTAATACATGATTCAATATAAAGATTTATTTTTCAGACATCTTCTAGATCAAATTCATGCTTGATCCTGAACAATTAAACGACTAACCATATTATTTTATTTAAAAACAAAATGAAATCAAACATCCTTCAAAACAATGAAAAAATTTTACGACAAATATTCTTGTTTTATGAATAATAAAGGATTTAAAATAGGATGTTACTTTCCAGACATTCTATATAATTCATGCTGTAAAAATTTTCTGTTTCTCGATTGTATAATATAATATTAATTTGAATAAAAATGTTTTTAATTACGACTGCATTCAATTTATATTATTGCCTGAAGAAATATTCGAAAGAGTATCAATATCTTGTAAATTTCCTGTCGTCAATTGATCAGTCTGAATATTTGTTGTTGAAGAAGCCAACAAGCGTTCTTGTCTCACATTTTCCTGTTGAATCATTGTTTGTTGTATTGAATACGTCAAACCTGGATTAAGACTTAATACATACGGTAACATTGTTTTTGGTATATTGTCAAAATCGATGATTACTTTGATATACATTGTATTATCACGTATATATGTATTTTTATCATTTTGCAGCTTTGTTAATGGAACAAATTTTGGTATACCACTAGCAATATTCATATCCGAACGTGGTCGTTGAAAACTATTTGATTTAATATCAGGTTTAAATGAATCAATGATATGATTTTGTTGATTACTTTGATCATAAAGACAATATATTACTTTATAAGCAAATGGAAATTTTAAAATAGCATCATATTCACCACGCATAAGAACAAAAAATAATGACATATGTGTTCGTCGAGCATTACCATCACCATTTAAATAAAGTCGAAGACACATTTTATAACCTGTCGATGATGAATAAAAAGGTGGAGAATAAATTGATGTTTGTCTATCCGATTGAGCGGCTGCTAAATAAATAAATACATATGTAATAATTTCTAAACAACTTACTCAATACTCTTAAAATATCTTCTCAGCACTAATAACTTTTTCGAGGACATATACTTATTCATGCAAAAATAAACTTTATGAATGTTTATTTATCGACGACAGATATAAGGACATATCATTGATCTCTCACATGCCAACAAAATCTTTAATATCCTTATTATCTAAATATTTGGAAAAATAATAAATATGTTATTGAATACACATATGAAAATATTAATCATCAAAGAAATCTTCAATAAACAGAGGAAAACTAGTGATGATAATAATACAGATATTCATTTGATAATCAACGATAATTATTCAATTAATATTAATTCAAAATTTAAACAATAGAGTTCTGTATTTTTAGATTTGAAAATAAACTTTTTTGTTCTTTTTTTTTTTTTTTTGATCCCATAAAAATGTTTTAGATCGACTAGTATTTATTTGAGCAAGAAAAATATTGAAATGAGCAATAATTTTTAAACAATAAAAAAAAAAATTATTTGAATAATTTCGTATTATTAAATGTACAATAATTAATTTATTAAATAACAGTAGTAATTTCATATTTTAGCAATAAGAAAGAAAAAAAGAAAAAAGAAATTATTTTTAGTTACAATTCCACTTTCATTCTCAGAAATATATTGCGCTACACGTTGTGATTGAGCCATTTGTATAAACTATATATTTTATTATATAAAATTGAAAAAAAATACCTACTTCTAAAAATAAATGTGTTGGATCCATAAAATGTTGTTGTGCATATGGTATCTATTTTCCAAAAACTAAGAACCTTCTTGTTATCACACACACGTAGATATATATATATATGTATCTGAGATAATGGAATATATCTGAATGATCACATGAAAGGAAGAAATGAAAAATCCAAGAAAAAGCAATATGGAAATATACTTGAAAGAAAGAAAGAGAACAAACACACATATGTATAGTATAACACAACTCTTTTATAGCATATCTTTGGAATTTACCATAACAAAATGAATCCATATTGCCCCGTTTTATATAAAATTTACCTTTAATTTAAATAAATTATTGCTCATTTAAATTAATTTCTTGCTCAATTAAATATAATTCTTTTAAATCCATAAAATTAGTTTCCATATTGAACTCTTATGCCAATGAATGAGACAAGTGTTATTAATCAACGTTGATTATTATCTCATTTCATCACATCTAAACGAAAACCAGAGTGTTATAGTGAAAAACTTAGAAAACAGTTGATCTGTCATCTGAATAGCGGATAAAAATTTCTTAATTGCTAACCCATTTTTTCTTGTACATCGTTTATTTTCCATACAAATGTTCCATCATATGAACTCATTTTCATATCATTAAGTTTTTGTCCCATTGATTCAACATCTTGTTGAAGAACTTCTTGATTGATTTTGATGCTATCTAAGACTTTATTTTCTTCTTCAATAGATATTTTTAGTGTTGATAATTGTGGTATCAAAGAATCGAGTGTATTTTTATGATGAATAGATTCAGTATTGACACGTTGTATATCACTATCTAATGTTTCAATACCATCTGATAGAACATTGACTGTATCATCGATCTCTTGTAATGGAATCGTCATATTATCTGTAATTTGACGATGATCTATTGTTGTCTGTGAAGGAATCTGAAGTTGATTGCACATGACCTGTGATACTATTGATTTCAGATGATGAACAAAATACATTAAAATGTTTTGATGTTGTTCACTTAGATAATGTTGAGAAAGATTTATGCGAAGGATCTAAATAAGAAATTTTATTAAATAAGAAAAGAAATAAGTATAAATGTACCATTTCTTGACATCCGAATTCTTTTAATGGACAATCTACAATGATTTTTTCACAATGATATTGTATATGTCGATCAAGATTGTTAACTGAATTAAATTTTTGATTACACGCATGACATATCGGATTTGGATGATTTTGATCAAGATGATTCTTCAAGAGAAATATCAAACAATAGAAATGAATGAAAAAAAAAATGAATATTACCTGATAGATGTTCAACATACCAGTCCAATTACAAAGTGAACATACAATTGTCAATGTCATCATATCATTTTTAAAACCTCGATCGATTAATAACTGAACGAGAAAGAAATTTTAATTGACAAAATTAACATAAATATTTTACTTTGTTTCGATTTGTTTTCTCATGACATTCAGAACATGTAATCATATCTCTTTTGAAAAAAACAAAGAAATTATTTAAAAAAAAAACAATTAATTAATATTATACATTATTTACCCTTCTAGTTCATTTGCACATGATTGACACATTCGATGAGCACAATCAATTAATTGTACAGGATCTCGCAATAGCAATAAACAATATGAACAAATATAAGTAGGGTTGAAAGATTCTGTATTTTGTACACGATACCCAACCATTTCTATGACACATAATCTAAAAGAAGTGTTGAAGTATATGGATAATTTAGACTTCCTCTTCCTAGACCGTGATAGACACTAGGCAGAGACCATATGTCAATAAAATCTCATTATAAGGGCTAATAGATTTGAGTAGAATAGTTCATCATTCAATTAAATATATTCTTAGACATGTGCTCAAGAATGAAATCAGTTAGGATTTCGATCAGTTAATAATAATTTCATTTCTGTTCCTTAGAAATTTTCAAATTAAAATATGATTAAGACTAATATGAATATTAGACTTGTACATGATAGAAATAACGGATTACCTAAACTACCATGAATTATTTATTAAACGATTAATTAAAAAATTGAATTAGCATCGTTTTTATCTTTGTATTGATTTCTATCGGCCGAATCTATTCTACATTGACAAACAATTTTATGTGGTTTTTTTTCAAAATAATAAATGATTTTCTCATGTTCAACAATCAATCAGTTCTTTTTATTTGTTGATATTTTCTCTTCAAAAAAATAATAAACAACCTAACAGTTCAATATCAGACATTCTTATAGATCGATTCACAAAAATTTATCTATGACAACTACTAATATAAATACAAATATACTCAACATTTTTAAGAACATAAGATAACATCATAAAATACAATTCTTATATTTGGCATGAAGATTAGAGTTTTCTCTGAAACTCTCTACAAACAGATATTTCTTCTGTCAAATGTCATTTGAATTTGACTTCTATTTTCTTAAATTATTTATTCATACAATCAATAGTTTCCTTTATTTTACACTAGTACATCTTTAATTTTAAATGATTTGCACAACTGAATGATTGGAACAAGAGAACGCACTATTTCGATATGAAATCGCAATTTATTGCTCAGATATCTATTTAAGAGCAAAAAAGATATCAAGAAACACAATTATTACGATTATTAATATGCAAAAGAAGGAATTTAACGTTTAGTTCATCTTTCAATTATGTCAGTGTGAAAAATCTTAAGAGTGAGTTTCTGAGAGAGTCAGACACCAACGATGGTGTGATATCTCAGAATTTCCTAATTTTTTTTTGATATGTTATACAGGATAGTGAGTTATGTACTTTCTTAAATTTTCAGTCCTATCTGATGAGTTTTCGAGGTGTAATCGACCAAACATGGTTCAGTCATTTTGTTAGTTTTCAAACATTTTTCTTACGTTTTTTTATATTTTTCATATAAAAATATAAAAAAACGCATGAATAAGGTTTGAAAATTAACAAAATGACTGAACCATGTTTGGAAGATTATACCTCGAAAACTCATCAGATAGGACTGAAATTTTCAGGAAGTACATAACTCACTATCCTGCACAATATATCAAAAAAAATCAGAAAATTCTGAGATATCACATCATCGTTGATGTCCTTAAGTGACTGATTTTCTCAGACACTCACTCTTAAATATTTTATTTTAAAATTATTGTCAGAATAATAATTACTCTATTTTGTATGAAAACTAATTTGTTCTAATATTATCTCGGACAATATAACATACGTAATCCAAACTATTTTTATTAAAATTAAAATAATTCTTTACAATACACCATTTTTTTTAATAAAAAAAAGTGTATTATAAAGGCACTATCTTGGTTTTAACTATATAGTTAACAGAAACCAGTCCCGACGAATTGTGATATGTGATCACTACTTAGGACAAGTTATTTATAAAAAAACAAATATATGAGAAAGGAAAAAGAGAAAGAGAAAGAAAAGTACTGAAGAAAGAGAATAGACGAGAAGAAAAATAAAGGAAGTCGGGAAAAAACCAAGTAAAAAATGTTTTTGCGACGTAACATTGCGTCTTTTTATATATGTTTTACCTGGACATGATAAGTAGTGTCTGGAAGCTGCGAGACGTTTTTAGTACTACGTATTTTTGTATTTAATAAAAGCAAATTATTTCGAATTTTCGCTGATAAGTGCACCTATTTGTGAGGGAACGATTTCAGCTGCTTTCTCCCGATTTAAATAATGCTTTGCCTATAAGATACTCAACAATATTCTGATAAAAATCGTAAAAGAATTTGGATTCCTATTGAACTTTGACTATGCTAACGAATATTCAACAAGTTTATTTTCTAGAAGGTCCTGTATGACCCTAGATATTCAATAAACTTGTATTGGGTGTGAATGAGAGTGAGGATGGAGTTTGAATTTTCTCTTCATCTGCCTTACTAACACCTACATCCTATATAGAGAAAGAAAGTTTTTTTTTTTATTTTCGATTAAACTAAAAACGAAATAATAATCAGAAATCATTCTCAGTTCGATTTTCTTTCTCTCATTTCAGAAATTGTCTAAATTTTTTTTACTATCAATTCTATGAATATCTTGTGAACATGTTTTAATTGTAAAGCAACTACAGTAGGAATATTCTAATGTTATATAATACGTAGCTAGATGATTTAAAATATATTGTTCAGAATATGCAAATTTTTCTTTCAAAATCTGTGTCAAAATAATTTATATTCAGAGTTTTGTAGTAACTAGTAGAAAATTCTCCTAGCAGGCAAGCTTTTAGGTACAGCTTATTAAAGACTTTTCTCTTTGTTGAGTTTCGAAATAAGATTGACAATATTTGAAAACTTTAAACGATTTATAAAATAATAAATTATCAGTAAACTTTCTCGACTGTATGACCAACATATAATGTAATTCGTTGTTCCATAATAATTTATATATGCTCTGGATCTAACATATTATTAAACTTCTTTCAGATAAACTATTGCTGCCGTGCTGCTCAAAATTTATCATTGATCAAAGAGATTTTTTCAGTGAGTAGTTGGCTATGAAATAATAATGTTTCAAATTGAAATAATTACATTTGAAGAGTATCGGTGAAGGTGTGATTAGAGTGGATGAAGAGAAGACCTATGCCTCATACTCGTCCGCTCTAATAAGTGTTAAAAATTTACCAGCATTGAAGTTTAAAAAAACTCTATATTGTGTAAGAAATTGCTCGTCGGATTTAAATAAATGAAATATATTCTGAAAGTAAAAACATAAACGCAATACTGAAGAGAAAAATTAGCTATCAAACAGAGAACAATGAGCACAAATACTTTATCAACTTCATTTCATAAGCCAGTTAATAAGGACAGAAAAATTGACGCATATGAATATGATGATGCTAGTAGGAAAAAGCTAAAATAGTTGAAAGTATCATTTTACACATGCGTCAATAATCAAAGGTAAAAATAGCGTTTATCAATATAATGACGCAAAAAGAAAAATAAAGTGTACAATGGAATGAAAATAAAAAATAATAATACAGTTCGTTGACAAGTGTACTATGTGACTTCTGTAGACGAATTAATGATCAATGCAATATACCTACGATTTTGCATAGAAATTTTAAATATTTCCAAGAGAGAGAACATCGTATATAGTGCAGGATTACTACATATTGAAATGATCGATTGTCTAAACAAGAAAAAGTATACATATAGACTTTTGAATGATGTTCTTTTTTAATTTTAAACTGTATTGAAAACTATCTAATTAAGATGAAAGTTCATAAACTAACGCAATGATATCTAAAGATCGAACAATATTACAAGAAAACAAGTCGGATCTAACGAGAGAACCATTCCAACTGTCATGATCGCTTTTTTTTAATGAAAACCAGTAGACCTTTTTTCTTTACAATTTGTGCAAGTTACGAACAAAAGAGAATTCCTATTAGTCTCATTTCGACAAAAACACAAGGATGAATATAAATGAAAGATTTATTATTGGAAATAACAGTAAGCTTGAAAAATCGTTTTTTTTTTCAGCGAACTAATGTCAGTAGATCTATCAATCATGCCAATGAATAGATAACAGATCCTCGCACTCTAAATATCTCTTAAGTACAAGAAACGTCATATGTACTATTGATGAAAAAAAAGAACAGACTACTAAATCAAAAGTATCAATAGTTCAATCATCGGAAATTATTTTTTTTACTGTCGAAAAAGACCATACAACTTCAATCATAAACATCACTTCGTATTGTGCAACTTTAGCTAGAATAAGGCAAAGTTTATTGAACTCTACTTCTAAATGAAATATACGATCGAGTAATGATATTTTAGATACGTTCAAGTGGCAATGAAATTCATTTTCTTTTTAATTCTATGATAGTTTATGAATTTATTAACTACTCACAAGTTCAAGAAGTAGATTGTACCATTGAAGTACGTCGTTTCATCTCTTGATCATTCTCATAATAATATTGAAAATCAATACTATCAATTGCCTATCATTGAGTAGTTTTTAATCAAAATAGAATTGAACAGTTAAGACAATTCCTTGATTGTTCTTTATTTACAGAGGAAAATACAAAAAAACTGAATAACAAAAAAAAAAAAAGTTTATAAACATTTATTTACACCAGGACAGTTTTATAATTCTGTATTAAACAAATTAATTTTTTCCTAACTATACAATTCATTGAATTCATTCGTCATACAATTAATATCATCATTAATATGATTACTGAACCAAATCTTTTTGCTTATGGTAATCGTTTAGTAGTATTCTTAATTGGTAGTTAACTCAATCCAAAGGGATAGCCGGAATTTCGTCTATAAGATTTTTTGCCAATAGGAGATTCGCCAATGGCAAAAGTCCAGGGAATGTGTTTGATGAAGGTAGGATGTACTTTTGCAAATTTTCACAAAATAATATTAACCCTTTCGCGCCTGGTGTCCCATATATGGAACGGCGAGGTTTTTCATTATCTGCCCATATTAATATAATTTCAAGTGCAATTTGATACTAGTATTTGAGAAGTTTTATCTATTACAAGGATAGAAAGACCAATAGTGATGATAATTTTACAGGAAATATGCATTTCTAATGTGAAGCTTTTAACGCTTCGTTTCATTTGTCAAATTTTCAAGCTTTAAAACTCAGTCAAAATGGTCAAGTTTCTTTCCATATCGACGTACTCTTGGCTCTTAAAAGGAAAGACAAAAAGAACGTGCATATAATTTCAACTATTCATGAGACAGAAATGACAATCACCGAACAAGTTAATCATCAAACAGGTCGTTGAATTGTAAAATCCATTTCTGTCCAAGACTACAACGACAATAAAGGACTTGTCGATCAATCTGACATGCAAATGTTGTTTTCCGAATCTGTGCACTAATCATTGAAGTGGTACAAAAAATTCTTTTGCTGTTTGCTTGATATCTCGCTCTTCAGTGTCTATGTACTATACAAACTGCAAATTGGCGAAAAAATTGTTCTTTCCAATTTTCGACTGTAAATAGTTCGAACGCTTGTGGAAGAATTCAGTGCTCAAAGATAGGACAGCCACTGAGATGCCTGTGCGCATAACACAGTACGACACTTTCCATCAAAAGTGGAAAGCTCGAGCGACGGACGAAGGTGTTGCTTTGTCTGCAACCATACGACCCGTGCTCCAAAGTAGGAAACAACAACCAGTTACGAGTGCAATGTTGGCTTATGCGTAGTGCCATGTTCTGAAACCTATCATACATTGAAACACTTAGAATTTCCAGCGGTTGAGAAAGCTACTTGTCCTTCCAGAAGCACGAGCTTTTTACAGACTGTGATTAAAACTAATTTTCCATTATATACGAACATATTTCTTACTGAAAAAAATCCTGGCACGAAAAGGTTAATATTGAATACATGTGAGAGATGAAGCTAATATTATTAGAATATATACCGGGTGGGCCAAAAGTAAGGAAACAAAAAGGGTATGCTATAATAAAGGATAATAAATTGTTAATGATATTTTTCATACCTTATATTGATGTAGAGAGCTAAAATTTTTATCACATATATATCCAGTTAAGATCTTTTATGTCTGAAAGTTTCAGCTTTCCACATCAATAAAAAGTGTAAAAAAGATCATTAACAATCTATTATCCATTATTATAGCATACCATTTTTGTTTCCTTACTTTTGGCCCACCCGGTATATATATCATAGCTTATACTTATCTATATAGTCAATATGACTTTTGTTAATACATATCTAATTCATAGTCGAATTGGCGAAACTTCAGGGAATGTATTGCCCATGAAAAAATGAACGATCAAGAATGCGTTCTGAATACGCTTTTTGTGTTCTATTGGAACCTATCCCTTGGATGTGAGGACAGTTTTTTTTCACGACAAAAAAAACCACCTTTTGACAATAGCAGAACTCTAACACGTAGAACACGTTCCTATACGATAAAACTTCATCCCTTGCAGAACGTGTTCTATGTGATCACGTTCTATTATAGCCAGAACGCGGTTTTGTTTTTGTGTAAAACCCGTTCTCATATCCAAGGGATGCGTTTCAATAGAATGGAAAAAAGCATCTTCAGAACGCATTCTCGATCGTTCTTTTTCATAGATTTTTTTTCATGGGCAGTGAAAATCCTATTGGCGAAAGTCTTATTGGTGAGATTCAGAGACACCCTCCATAGTAATCGATTGATTTCCTTCAAAATTCATCGTTGGAGAATTAGATACTTGTTGTCGTTTTTCAATTTCCTGTCGAATCATTGTTTGTTTGATTTGAGTTGTGAATGCTGGACTAAGATTAAACATATAAGGTAAAATTGTTTTTGGTGTATTATTAAAATCGATTGTCACTGTAATGAATATTATATCATTACGAACATATGGATTATTTTCTTGTTGAAATATTGTTAAAGGAGCAAATTTTGGTAGACCACTAGCAATATTCATATCGGAACGTGGTCGTTGAAAACTATTTGATCTAACATCAGGTTGAAATGAATCAATAATATGATTTTGTTGATTAGTTTGATCATAAAGACAAAATATGACTTTGAAACAGAATGGAAATGAAAGAATAGCATCATATTCACCACGCATAAGAACAAAAAATAATGATATATGTGTATTCTGAGCATTACCATCACCATTTAAATAAAGTCGAAGGCACATTTTATAACCTGTAGGTGACGAATAAAAAGGTGGAGAATAAATTGATGTTTGTGTTCTAGATTTAGCAGCAGCTAAAACAAATAAATAATAACTTAGAACTTGTCAACATGTGTTTTAAGTTTTAGCTACTTATGGAAATTTAGATAGAGTAACTTCATCAAGAAAAAAATTCAAGTTTAGAATTGATCAGCAATGTATGCAAAAAGATATAACTCAACATCTCGTACATTTTATGATAATAATACAGATATTCAGTAAAAAGTATAAATATCTCCATATTAATCAATAAGGAATTTACTAGAGCTGGCCAAGTACAAGTACGTACTCGCACTCAAAGTGTCGGTATTCATACTCGACAGAACTCGTTCTGGAATGTTCAAAGACTTTTCATTGAAATAAATAAAAAAATGAATCAGTCTAATACTAACTTATTTTTTCTTGTACATTAGTTATTTTCCATGTAAATGTTCCATCATAAGAACTCAAACTCATATTATTAAGTTTTTGTTCCATTGATAGTAAGTTTTGTTCAGTTATCTGTTGATTATGGTTAATACCATCTATAGAAGAATTTTCTTCTTCAATAGATTTCTTAAGTATTGTAGTTTCTTGAATGAAAGATTGTAGTTTATTATGGATCTGATCACGCTCAAGAGTCAGACGTTCAAGTTCATCAACTAAAGTTTTAATATTATCTAATAATATATTAGTTGCATTAGAGATTTTTTCGAATTCATTAGGATCCATATCTATTCTTTGATAAGAACCAATCAGAGAATGATTGTTCAGATTATTTGATAAGATCAAACTCATTTGACGAACAACATTAGCTAGGATTCTTTGATGTTGATCACTTATATAATGTTCTGCAAGACGGAGACGAAGAACCTACATGAGAAAAATTTGTCAATAATATAAAAAATAGAAAAAAAAAATTAAATATTAACCATTTCTTCACATCCGATTTGTTTTAATGGACAATTCAGAGTGATTTTTTCACAATCATGTTGTATATGTCGATCAAGATCATTTACTGAATTAAATTTTTGACTACAAGAATCACATACTGGATTTGGATGATTTTGATCAAGATGATTCTTCAAAACAAATATTAAACAATAGAAATAAAAGAAAAGAAAAAGAATTTTACTTGATAGATATTCAATATACCAGTCCAACTACAAAGTGAACATACAATTGATAATGTCTGCATATCATTTTTGAAACCTCGATCTAGTAATAACTTAAAGAGAAAAAGGTATTAATTGTAAAATAATATAGCAATCTTACTTTTTCTCGCATTGTTTGTTTACCGCATTCTGCGCATGTTATCGTGTTTCTTTAAAAAAAAAAACGAAACAAAATGAAATATAAGTCAATATAAAAAGTAATATTTACCCTGATTGTTCACTGGCACATGATTGACACATTCGATGAGCACAATCAATTAATTGTACAGGTTCTCGGAGTATTAATGAACAACAATTACATTTATACAAAGATTGAATATCATCTAGATTTTTTGAATTATATCCAACCATTGTCTATAATCTAAAATAAAAGACAAATATAAATAACAAAATCGTTGATGTAGCAATAAATGATATTCAACTAATTAGTACACATACTTTCTATGATTAGGGCAAGATCATCATTCAAAATTTTTATCTCTCAATGTACTCAGTATTTCGAATTTCTGTCATTCTTTTTACAACAATTCAATTAGTATATATAGTACAAATTGTAAAAGGAAAGTTCCAATGATGACGTACAAAATATATAAAGAAAAGAAAAAAAATCCTATGACGGAGAACGAAAGAATAAATCCATCCAACATGACAACACTAAAATAATTTTTTTCGTAAAAGAATATAGAAATGAAAATTAAAATAATTTTATTTGATAAAAAAAAAATCAACTCTCTAGTGATAGGTTATCTAATAAAAAAAAAAAGAAAATAACATTTGATCTTGAAAACATCTGACTAGAGAAATAAAATATTACTTATCCAAATATACAGTTTAATTTCATATTTCACGCATGCATTGCAAGTAATATTGACGTGCAACAAAAATTCAAATGATTTCAATCAATTAAATTTAGAAGAATTTACACATTCTCTTGAAAGTAATTTCACAATATATGATGATGATTGTAAAAATTATGAATCAGCTATCCATTACATAACTTGATTTTACGTAATACTCATAGAACTCTTTTCTTCGTATTATTCATAAATTAGAGTGAATAGTTTTATAAATAAAGTCAACGTATTTATTTTCAATATGCACATTTTTTTTAGTGTAGATTATGTGTATGAATAAGAGAATTTGAATCAATACTCGAACTAGATTTCTTATCTATATGAGTAGAAATTCATACGTCGCATGATTTGTCACAAGTTCATATGACAGAATGAAAAAAAAAGAAAAAAAAAGAAAAATCGAGAAGAATGAAAAATGATCTATATGAAAGAGAGAGCAAAGATCAGAAAAAAAGTAACTAATGATAAAAAAAGAAAGAACGGAGAACCTTAATTCAAATATTATTTTGTCCTCATTTTCAGTACACAATGACGTCATTTGTACTTTGAAGTGTATACACAAGCTTTGATTCTAGTTTTTCATTTCATACATTCAACTCTTGTTTAAAATATAAGTGTTTTGTATCAACATATTTATTTCATTTTTTTAGCATATCCGAAAATTGTTAATTATAAAATCGTATGAAATACATCAAAGTATTCTGTTAATAAAGTCTCAAATTTCAATTATCGAATCGAAAGAAAATATGAGATAAGAATTTTCGTTATATCATTGATATACGAAAGGCTTAGTACAAAAATTTAAGTGTATTAATAAAAAAACTTTGACGTCTTCATACTTTACTGTTCAGGATATTTTCCAGAGACCAAGCTGCAGAGCTTCGGTTGTTCGTCACTTTAGATGAGGAAAAGAGGTTTTCGGATTATCGAAACTTCAAAAGTCTGGAAAACGTAGGCATGACTTTTTAGAAAAAATCAGGGTTTATCTACCATTGATGATCAATTAGAAAATTCCTTTCCCTTATCTGAAGGACTATGGATATGTCTATCGATTAAAAAAGCCAAGCTCACCTCTACTAGAATGAAGTATATTAAGAAAAATACAAAAGAAACTTTTTCTTATTATTACTTAATGGACGTAAAGCATAAAAGTATAATGCGTCAATCGAAGCACTTATCCACCGTATATCAGATCGTCGTCGTATGAGATGTATCGCGATAGATGATGCCACCTACTATTGCCTTTATATTTGATATACCATTCAACAACGTAATCAATTAATTTTTTTTTAACTGACTTGTTGCCTTACAGTTTTTTAATGAGAGTGTGTCTCTAACATGCGCAAGATTTGATTACTTCTGAAAAATGTTTGTTTATTTTGCAGATCTAATTCTACAAAAAAAATTTTACTGAATGCTCTAGACATCATTATTTGTCTAAATAGTTTTAAAAATCATTTATGAAACCCACTGTTTTTTTAATAATTCGTACACTAGGGAACATGTTTATATGTTTATCGCAAGGATCATTGAATCCAAGGAAACATAACTACGAAATGGAGAGTCGGTCCAGGGATGATACTTTATATTTACTTGCCAAAGTATAGCAGAACGAAAACACTTTACTTTACTTCTTCACAGTAAAATAAAGATTAAGTACTATCCCTGAATTGGGCTTTAAAATTCATGATCGTAATAGATCCAAATGTGCTCTGCAAGATTGATTTTGAGAATCTTTTCAAGTTCTAATAGATTACAGTAAGATCTTTTTGGCTTCGGTATATTCTGATCAATCTATTCTAGAAATCATCGGAATCTGTGAGGCCATCTGGAATCCATTAGAATTCGCTAAAATGTATAGACCTCATCCTTGAATAATAGAAGGAATCATAATCAGCTGAAAAACTACTTCTAAACAAAACTGAAAAATATTCAATTATTGGGTGAAATTGCAAGGATAGAACAAATTGAATTCTTAAAAAAATGACAAGAAATAATTGAAAGTCATATGAAATTGCTAGAAATTAATTGGAATCGGAGTTTTACTTTTTGACTTTATTACTAGTAGTTATCAATGATTTCTAATGGCTTTCAGCAGTTTCTAATTATTTCAAGTAAATTTTTTTAATATCCTAATCAGAATTATTTGAATAATAAACTTTGTATCTTTATTAATTCCTTAGAAGAAAAAGTTTTAATACCATAAATGGATATTTTAGGTAGAAAAAAAATCAAATAAAACTCCAGTAATAATTATATCAAAGCTGCTATTCTCTTATAAACAAATGTGATAAAGACTAGTTTTGTAGTTATGGAAAAAACATTTTAGAAAATAAAAATGACTTATATGAAATGCAAAGAGAATAATAACAATTAGATGTCTTCTTCACAACTGATGATTAATAACATTCAGAAAAAAAAGACTATAAAAGATAAGATTTTTTTAACTAAACAAAACAGTTCAAATACATTCTTACTCGAACAAAAACAGTTAACAGATAGAAGAAATTCGTATTTATTGAAAAAAATATTCATTTATTACTTATTTTCGATTGAAACATTACAGATAAATACAAATTTGAGAATCGATTAGTGCATTTGATATGTAGTAGAGATGAGATAAGTTTTAAAATTAATTTACAAGAAATAGTATAAAAATAGAATAATAATTATTGGTTGAAACAGGTACATTAGTTGATGTTCTAGAACATGTGGTGAGAAATACGAATTAATGTTGAATGTGGCGTCATCTGGATTTTATAGAAACATCAAAAAAAAAAAAGAAATAGTGATAGAAATGTATTAAATCAGAGGATATATTCATCTATATATTTTATTTTTAGAAAAGATAGGGTTCATACAAAGGATGACGCTACACTACAGTGACGGGTGTAATACGTGGGTGTGTTCGTATCGCTAAATTAATCCTTTGAGGAACCGAGAACCGATTTGTTCTATGACATGGACGAGACTTCTGCGCATACATCTATATAAGAATTATAACCTGAATGTGATCACTCAGATGATAAGCCTGATGAGTTTTTAACACACTACATCTAGAACTGTGGATAATGCCCTTTTGCGGTCCCCAAAATATTTCGGTTTTTTACGTTGAAATCAATTTAAGAGTGACTTCTAATGGTATTCCAAAGATTAATTTTGCGATAGCTCTCTATCAAATTTTGTCCCACATCCATCTCCCCTACGGGGATGATCAAAATATCTCTTTGTCATCCTCGTAGGGAAGTACAAGTATGGCTCGAAAAGGATTTTAAAGATTTTTAAAAAGTTTTGATGAAAATATCAACAATACACACTGTCCATATTAAATGTAACGTCTCAAAGAAAATTCGTCCATTGGTTGGGCAATGGTCCTCAAAGCGTTAAATCCAGTTATCAGTTTAAAATATTTATTTTTTTTTTCATAATGACCTATACTATACGTTTAGTATTATCGTATATCATATTTTCTTGAATTATTTATTATTCATGTCTTTTGAATGATGTTGTATGATTCTCCAAATGTGTTTTTATGTACTCTTTCTCTATTTTCTAAAAAAATCAAAAGTTTATTTCTTTTTTCCATATAAAAAAAA